CCTCAAGTTATATTTGAATATTGAGATTTCCCAGCTAAAAAGAAATATAGCTTTGCTAGCTCACAGGGGAAATCTCAAAATTTTAAGGAGTTTTTCCTCAAAATCAGTTTTTTTTTGTTGCTATTGCTTAAAAAAGTGCTTCAAAATTTTGTTTTATGATTATGTTTCAGAGAGTTCATTCAAATGACACATTGATAAGGCATTTATTCATTATATTTTGACAAAATGCAATTTTTGTTAACATTTTAGTCAAAACACTATATTTGCCTATTTCTCCTTATACCACTTTTGGACTTAATCCTCGTTTCGATGTGTTGGGTCACATATTTATTTGTCTGCCTTTGTCAACTTAGCAATACAAACAGGATCCCAAACTGTTTATCAACACTGGAAATATCTTTTAAAGTTTTTTTATTTTTTGGCTTGGATCAAGGGTCTTTGACTAAGTGCTGCAGAGAACTTGGTAAAAGTAAAAAATGAACAGAATCACAATTTCTGTTGGAAACACCTACCTTCCTCCTTTTGTCCCCAGTTAGTCATACAGCGTAAGATATTTGACTCTGTTGTCTTAATTTTTACCCAAATCCACTCAAAAGTCCCCACTTCAGTTGCAGCCAGAGACTGTAATCAGTTGTCGTAAGCAAACAATTTCTCTGAATCTTTGTGTGTTACTGTAAACTGTTGAAACTTATGAACTCATTGTGAGAGCCTCAGCTGAATGACTGAAAGGCCAACGATAAGTTGAACAGTTCTTTATGGGTTTTCTCCACTGGATTACAAGTGTGTGTTTACATTCACTGAAAAARTCAGGTCCAGAGTTTCTGAGCAGTTATTGACTTTTTTTTATTTATTGCATTTTGTATAGCTGCAGTTTGGCCACAAAGACAGGAGGTTTCCCAGAAAGAACCTGCCTGAGAAACCCAACCGTTGCAGAACAACAGCTGTGATCAAAAATATTCTGCTGTTCTTATGTTCAACTAAATCGGCATCTGAAAGAAACGCGAAGACTCGGCCTCCTCACGTCGTTTGTGAAGAAGCTTCTAATTTGTGTTGAACAAATAATTTTCTACAGAGCGTTTGAACTCTGGAGAGGCTGCTGCAAAGTGTCTTTTCTTTTTATGCCAGTCAGCGATAATACTGCTGTTACATTACGCCACGGGATATTTAGCTGTTGTCACATTATTAACTATATCAGCCAACTTTTCAGGGGAAGTGGTCAAAGAAGGAGATTTGTGGGAACAGAGATGTGACTAAACTCTCTTGGCTTGTTGTTTTTGGATAAAGCTTTATCTGGAGCATTGAAACGGTGTGTAATATGTTCGTGTGTGTAAGTTTAATATGTGTCTAAGGCTTTTGGCTCATTGATTGTGTTTCTTCATCTACATGCTGTCTCCTCAAGTTTGTTGCCTTAGGCTTGTGTTTGTATCCAGACTTTATGGTGTGTTTTGTGTGCTAATTTTTACCCTGTGTATGTATGTGTGTATGTGTGTTTGTGTGACTGCACACATGCAGCATGTGTGTCAAAACTCTTACAGGCAAACAGCTTTCAAAGACCTCGCAATTCTCCTTTGAGTTCATAAAGTTTTCTTTTTTCAACTCAACTTTTCTCTGTTCTCATCTTTCTGTTTTAATCATCTGAGCTGGTTTTGTAGCATCTGTCCACTTTAGTTTAACTTTCTGCTGATTTTTCTTTTTGTGAAGGAGAACTTGATAATTTTGGGGTGAGGATCGTGAAAATAACAAAGCTTTAAAGTTTGGATCTGTAAGAAACACAATAGTTTATCTAAGATCAAAATCWTAGCAGAGATTTGTCCTGTGTTAGAAAAATAATATAGAATACTGTTATTCCATAAATCTTATCACATTACTAATATTGGAGAAGTTCTTAGTCCTTTATAGAGAGGTGAAACCATGAAGGGCAGCTTCATTTATTCAATTAACCTAGGGTTTTGATTACCTGTGTTTAACATGTAGATAACACWTTTTTGTAGAGTCTAGAAGTAATAAGGATAACTCATGAAAATATCTTTATTATCTTCTCCTTTCCTAATAGCTGTCTACTTGTATTTTATGAGTAAAACGTCACCATGTCATAAGTGGAAGGATGTTTTTCCAGAAGTTTCCAAAGGAGTTTTCACAGAAGGTGAGCAGGAGAATCTAAGAAAAAGAGGAATAACAAACTAAGTGTAATAGTTCTTTATTGATT